ATATATATATATATATATATATATATATAAAACACATTTAGAATTTATTTTTTATATATAAAATGCATTTAGAAATTATCTAAAAAGTTGTGTGCCTACCGGGATTCGAACACACATCCCGCCAGGACGACTAACTTCACTGGGTGCGTAGTGACCACTGGGCCAAAAACTTCAATGTTGTTATGGATTCGCAGGAAATATATATATATACGTTCTACTTCATAATTTAATACAAATATAGGGTCTACGAAAAAGCAGTGGGTTCGGCCGAACCCCCTTTGGCTACAGTAGCTCCGCCCCTGGATATAGTCTTGTATGTTCAACGAACAAGGTCAACCTCATCGGTCATGTCTAGACATTGGATCCAGTTGTCTTTGCTGAGTCATGTCTGTTCTATTTCTTCATACCATGTTGTAGATAATAAAATTCGCGTCGAGAAAACAATAATCAAGAACGGAAAATTATGCAACAATCATTTTATTGATTTAAAGTGCGAGTGTTACAATCTCTATAATTCCTCTGAATTCGCCTTTTCAAATATAATTCAAGGGCTCTTGAGCTTGATCTTGAATTTATCTTGAACTTGTACTTGATCTTGAACTTGAACTTTATCTTGATCTTGAACTTGAACTTGAACTTTATCTTGATCTTGACTTCTAGTTGAATTCAAGGGCTTTGAGCTTGATCTTGATCATTCGTGGAACTTGAACACTCAAATTCTTGAATTCTTGAACTTGTAGCTTGTTGAGAAATCTGCGGCTTTTGATCCACGAGCTTTCTCTAGCTTTTCGTTAGAATTCTTGGTTGCTTTTCTGAATTATGAGGATCCCTATTTGTAGTTTTAAAATAGAGGAGTTGCGATTGGAACAAGATTCCCTTCGGCCAATCAGACTTAAGTGACATGACATATGGGCTTTATGGAGCGAGCTTTAATTAAATACACATTTATTGAATTTAAATAATTAACTCAATTATATTAATCCATAATATTTATTTGGACTAATATCTTCATGAATTTGAATCATTTAATAAATTTTAAATGATTACAAATGCCCCCTTCTACAAGTCTTGTCGAGATATTTTATCTCTCAAAGACTAGGCTTGAAGAATTTGAAGACTTCAACTTGTAGACTTGAAAAATTTGAAGACTTCAACTTGCATACTTGGAGATTCTGAAGACTTCATCTTGAAATAACTTTTATTCATAAGGGTTTTCCCCCATTGAGTCACCACCATTTGGTGCAAGTCTGAAGTTTTATGCAAGATTACTCATAGCTTTAACTTTCATGTGACAGATCAAGTGAGAACATTTGGTTTTTTTGACACTCATGCAACTGAACTTAGAATATGGTTCTAAGTGCCTACGTACCTCAGTGAAGAGCATCAAGTCACAACGTAGTTCTAGGAGAGTGTTTTTTTATGTGCCGTAGATGTAGTTTAGACTCGTACCTTAAGGAGCATTTTGACTTGAAGATTTAACTCAAATTTAAAGAGTTTTATGATTTATAGTTTAGGCTTGTGTTCAAGAAACATTTTAACTTGAAGATTTAACTCAAATTTAAAGAACTTTATGACATACAATTTAGGCTCGTGTCTCAAGGAGTATTTTAACTTGAAGATTTAGCTCAAATTTAAAGAGCTTTATGATATACAGTTTAGGCTCGTGTCTCAAGGAGCATTTCAAAGATCTAACTCAAATTTGAAGAGCTTTGTGACATACAGTTTAAACTCGTATTTCAACTTGAAGATTTAACTCAAATTTGAAGAGTTTTGCGACATGCCGTTTAAGCTCGTGTTTCCAAGATCATTTTAGCTTGAATATCTAACTCAAATTTGAAGAGTTTTGCGACATGCCGTTTAAGCTCGTGTTTCCAAGATCATTTTAGCTTGAAGATCTAACTGAAATTTGAAGAGTTTTATGACATATAGTTAAAACTCGTGTTTCAAGGAGCATTTCAAGTTGAAAATTTAACTCAAATGTAAAGAGCTTTCCAACTTAGAGATTTAGCTTGAATTTGAAAAGTCTCGTGATATACCGTTTAAGCTCGTGCATATAAGAGCATTATAATTTGTAGTCAAAGCTCATGCATTAAGGAGTATTGTAACTTGCAGTTTAAGCTCATGCGTTAAGGTGCATTGTAACTTGCAGTTTAAGCTCATGCGTTAAGGAGCGTCTAGATATACATTGACTCATCAAAGTCATCTTCGGATGCAGACTTGCACCCACTCTGAAGTTCTTCTGTATCTTCATCTTCATGAGGTCCATAAATAGGATATCGTTGATCTTCTCTCAAAGTCATGATTAATTCCATATCATGTGCACGAGTTGCCAACTCTTCGAATGTATTGGGCTTTAATCCTCGCAAAATGTAGCGAAGACCCCAATTCATGCCTTGAATGCACATTTCAATGCTAGAAGTTTCACTAAGGTGATCTTTGCAGTTGAGACTCAGACTTCTCCAGCGATTGATAAAGTCAACAACTAGCTCATTTTCACCTTGACAAACCTTTGTAAGTTCAATCATACTAACGACACGTCTTGTGATATAGTATCGATTAAGGACTCTTGCTCTAACCACTCCCAACAATCTATAGAATTAGGTTTGAGATCTGTGTACCAATCAAAGGCATTTTCTCTAAGAGATCGAACGAACTCTTTAACAAGATAATCACCATATGTCCCAGCATCATTGCAAGTTTCGATAAAGTGTGCTATATGTTGTTTGGGATTTCCTTTGCCATCAAATTGTTGAAGCTTAGGAGGTTGATAACCTTCAGGCATTTTCAAGTTATCAATCCTTTGTGTATATGGCCTTGCATATATGGGAGAAAAATTGGATGAAGACTCATATTTGTCTTCAATAGTCTCTATGATAAAGTCCTTCAATTGATCAATTGAAATCAAACCTTCAGTGGATATATGAATTTCTTTGATCTTTGTTTGCTTTACGCAAGACTCTCCTTCGTCTTGAATTTTAGGAAGCTTCAGAGGTGCTTGACTCGATCTTCTTTCGATCATGTTATTCATCTTATTTGTTATCTTGGAAAGTTTAGCATCTTGTTCGTGAGCACACTTTGTCAATCCTTCAATTGCTTTAGTCAAGCTTGATAATCATTCTTCTACAGTGCAAGTCATTTTGATATTCTTTGATGCTTGAAAAGTTGAGATGAGAGGTAGAGATTGTCCCACTGGGCATGCCCGAATTTGTAGACAATAAAATTCGCGTCGAGAAAACAATAATCAAGAACAGAAAATTATGTAACAATCGTTTTATTGATTTAAAGTGCGAGTGTTACAATCTCTATGATTCCTCTGAATTCGTCTTTTCAAATATAATTCGAGGGCTATTGAGCTTGATCTTGAATTTATCTTGAACTTGTACTTGATCTTGATATTAAACTTGATCTTGAACTTTATCTTGATCTTGACTTCTAGTTGAATTCAAGGGCTTCAAGCTTGATCTTGAATACGGTGGTCTTGATCTTGATCGTTCCTGAAACTTGAACACTCAAATTCTTGAATTCTTGAACTTGTAGCTTGTTGAGAAAGCTGTGGCTTTTGATCCACGAGCTTTCTCTAGCTTTTCGTTAGAATTCTTGGTTGCTTTTCTGAATTATGATGACCTCTATTTATAGTTTTAAAATGAATGAGTTGCGATTGGAACAGGATTCCCTTCGGCCAATCATATTTAAGTGACATGTCATATGAGCTTTATGGAGCGGGATTTAATTAAATACACATTTATTGAATTTATAGAATTAACTCAATTATATTAATCCATAATATTTATTTGGATTAATATCTTAATGAATTTGAATCATTTAATAAATTTTAAATGACTACACATGTGTCTAATCACGAACACCCAAAAATCTAATCATGAACGGCCAAAAAAAAAAATAGAAAAGAAGAAAAAAAATGGTAATCTTTAATATTTCTGTTTTGTTAAAAAAATCTACCTAATAACCAACCAAAATTAAGGGTAATAAAAAGTACTTACTAAAAATTACTTGTCATAATTAGAGTAGAAAAAAAAATGTGAAGCCAAACGAAGAAGTCTCTCCACCATAGAAGGTGATAAATCACCCAATAAAACATTTTATGTGTCCTTCATATATTCATCCCTTGAAACATCAATTGACAACATCATTGCCTCTTTCCTCTCTCCAATATAGTAATTTGTCTAACTCAACAAGGCCTAAATATTAACCCAAAGGATATTTGATTAATTTTGTTAATCAAAAGGCTAAAACAATGGGAGCATGTGCAAGCAAGCCTAAGGTCTTGGAGGGTACCGCTCCTCATTTGGTGGGAGAAGACATCTTGAACAACAACAAGCAAGAAGGAATTGTGGGCGATGATGTTCCTAATAAGCCTCACTCTCTTAGTAATTTGTTCAAGGAGGTATTCTTAATTATTAAAATCACTTTTCTTTCTTTGTATATGTATATATATGCACATGTAATTATCCTAATGTTACATGTATTTTGTGATGCTTTATAAAGATGGAATATATAAGTAATGAGGTATAAGATATAATAATCTTAGACATAAAATTCAGTACTATTTTATCCTACGTTTTGTTGAAGGTATCAATTATGTAATCTTGAGATTATTTATCCCATCATGTATACCTTAGTGATGGAATAAGTTATCACATATACATATTGAAATAATTTATCCCAAGATAACCTATGTTGCATAGCTTATTTCAACACAAACTTATGCCGAGCGAAATAGGTTTAAAATATAGGTAGTAGTTGATCAATTTGATTGGATGTAATTAGTAAGTGTTAATGGATGCAGGGGAAAGGCTCAGAACAAGTGAAAGAGGAGACATCCACACAAGCCCAGCTAGAAGTTTTACCAAAGACAGAGGAGACCGCAGAAGCATTTCTTGAAAATAAAACAGAGGATGTTATAGAATCAAAAATAGAGAAAAGAGTTGAAGAAATAAAATCAGAAAAAGAGGAAGAGGAAGTTATAATATCAGAAACAGAGACAACTACTCCGACACAGAAGGAGGAATTTATAAAATCCGAATCAGAAAAAGAGATAACTACGCCCGCACAGAAGGAGGAAGTAATAAAATCAGAAACAGAGGTTTCCAGTGAGAAGAAAGTTGAAGAAACAGTACAGGAAGTCGCTCAAGTAGAAAAGAAATCATCAGAAGAAGAAAAATCTGAAGCTCCAGTGGAAGAGAAATCAGCAAAAAAACCTGTCGTTGAAGAAAAGAAATCAGGAAAATTTTGGTGGGACAAGTAAACTAATCATAAAAGATCTAGAGATGCTATGAAGTCTCCTTAATTACAGAATGATATGGTACAACTTTTTTAATTGAACAAGTTGGGATGAGCAACACTTAATATTTCATTCTCATTATCATACTATATATATTTTCACCTTATATTTGACATAATTTATTTCTAATTTTATATACAACTCACAAAGTATGTTTTATTCATGAAGCTACACTGAATGGAAGTTTATCCGACTTTCAAATTATTTTGATACATTTCAATTTTTAAATTTGTGACAGAAAGTAGAATTAATGAAGGAGTAGTTGAAGTTCTTATCACAATTTATGAACCCTTTAAGAATTCTTTAACAAAAGATTTTCAACTTTTAATTGTGATTATTTTTTTCTAAATACTTGCGTTCAATATTTGATTAGATTGGAAATCGGGATGAATATTAAAGAACAAACTAAATTTAGTGAAGGAACTGTGTTGTTATCATGACCCAAAAATCGGGCGTGATGACACTTGTTTTTTTCTCACTAAGCCAGGTCAGCCTAAACCCAAATTGATAAAATAAATGCAGAAGTAAAAACAGATTAAGGAACTAAGCATAACATAAACATGCAAAAATCATAACATAGCTCAAAATGCCCCAAGAATTGGTGTCACGTGTACGAGCCTCTAAGTATTACAATAGAATCAAAAGAAATAAAGTCTAAATGTCTTTGTATCTAGAACATAACAAGGACATAATGAAAGAGTAAGTGATGTCTATTGAGATGACAAACAATTACCTCACGAACTCCCAAAACAAGCCTTAGACAAAGATGAAAAAGAGATGATCAAGACGATCCATGCTAGTAACCTACACAAGTGTAGAAAGCAAGGGAGTGAGTACCAACTAATAATGGTACTCAGTAAGCATCCTTACTAACCCTAAGTAAAACAATACATAACACAAGTACACCCAACAGTCCATCTGAACCTTCACATATCACAACATGCAGACCAGGCCAACCTAACAATCCATGATTCATGAAGCACATAGCATGTGTAATCACATCTCAACATACACCTCAACATATAAATATCATCATCACAGTCTTGCGTATTCAAACAACCATAATGAGTTAATGACTATAACAAATCACTCATAAAGATCAAAGAACAATAATGATGCGCAATGCAATGAAGTGTAATGTCATATATAGTGATGTATGTCTGTCCTAACGATACACACCCACTGAGATTCAGGCCGAGACCCACGGAGGACTCATAGGGTCCATGTATCCACCGAAATCATTTTCCTTCACCATACACATCAATCGCCAAAACTATTTCCCTTTGTCATAAACATCAATTGCCGAAATCATTTTCCTTCAGCATCGCCGAAACCATTTTCCTTCGACATAAACATCAAACCAAATCTCATCATTGTGGACTTCTTTCTTTTCTTGACTTTTATGAGAGCCTCTTTAATAATATTAACTCTCATACATTGTTGAATTTCAATGTGACTTCTTCTCAACTATTTTGTTATCTTTCTCAATCTTGAGTCGAATCGCAAGATTTTCCAGCTTCATCTGATTACACTTATGATTTAGATAGTTTTTGAAGTCTCTCCACGAATGAGGTATTTTTTCAATCATCGTAGTCACTTGAAATGCTTCATTGACCACCATACCCTCAACAATAAGGTCATGAAAAATAAGTTGAAGCTCTTGAACTAGTGTACCAACTGTTTTGTTGTCTATCATTTAATAGTCTAGAAACTGGGTAATCACAAACTTTTCAAGCATGCGCCTTCAGTCTTATACTTTTTCTCAAGTGCATCCCCCATCTCTTTCGAAGTATTCAATGCACTGTAGATGTTGTATAAATCATCCTCTAAAGCACTTAGGATATAACCCTTGCATAGGAAGTTTGTTTGTTTCCATGCCTCAACAATCAATAATTTTTCTCTGTTTGACATATCAGTGACATGCATTGGAGGTTCTTCATTGATAAACTTCTGCATACCAAGGGTAATAAGTCAAAAGTATATTATTTGTTGTCATCCTTTGAAGTTCACTATAGAGATTTTTTTTTGTTTTTCTTTACTGGTCGTACAACTGTTCGGCTTGGTGGTGCAACAGTCACAAAAATTCTAGCGCCTTCATTTGTCACTTTTCCATTGTCAAAATCGTCAAACTAATTCAGAAAGTAATAAACAGAATTGCAAACTCTTCATCACAACAACGATGAAGTTTTTATATTTTTCAAATCGATGTTCAAGTATGAATGTTAATATTCAAACAAAGTTTTTATATTCTTCAAGTTGACATATTGATTCACATTTAATATTTAACAGATTGGTAAAGCTTTTTATAGTCTTTGAATCAAATGCACAGTCTTATTTTTATAGCAAAATTTAGATTCTTCAAACCGAAAGAATAGAATATTAGCAAATTTGTCTTAAAAAAATCAAACACAGTTAATTTTCAAAAGGACTAGAAAACAACACAATTGTTAGTCTCCAAACGATAATACAGATTAATAATAAAAAAAGTAAATACATAAAAAAACTCCTGAACTTGACATCAAAAAATACTTTAGCACTTTAATTTTACTGAGGTTTATTTACCCCCTAATCTAGTATGAAGTGAATTAAATATCACCCTAAAAAAATACTACCAATCTCATAATGGAAAGTATATTACTCACGCGTCATGTCATTGCTATATAAACACCACATCATTCCCACGTCCGTTCCATGTAGAATTCTTTTTTAATTTTAAAATTTTATTTTTAATACATTTTTTGCTTATTTACAACTTCTTCTTTTCATTATATTCTTAAACACTAATTAATTTACGAAAAAATATTGGCCATTTGCAATGATTTTTTTTTTAAAAAAAAATTCTCTTCCATTACTCACGATTACTTAAACTGCCATTATTTGTCATTAGTGTTAGTACACAATTTTTAGTTCCTAATTTATTCGAGAAAGAACAAAAATTACTCATATGTCCTTAATTACTTGTCCATTTTTGAATTGACACACTTAAGAAAATAATTATTGACATAGTGAGTTTACCATTTTATACCTATTAATTATGAAGTAGATGAATTAAAAACTTAAGATTTTCAAAGTAATTAATTGAGGGTATAATAGGTAAAAAGATTTGTCATTTCTTGATTTGTCAAAATGGGCAAGTAATTAGGGACAACTAAAAAAGGAAATGTGGACAAATAATTAGGAACAGATGAAGTATTTGCATTGATTTCACAAAAAACAAATTTCTTTCTATATACTTCACTTGCATTTCCATTGTTATCATTAGTTCTTAAAATTAAAATTTTCTATAGTCTCATTTTCCTCCATTGAAAATATTTATTTTTCATGAAATTTAAAACTTTCAAAAACAAATAATCAAATTTTGAAAGTGTAGAATAAAGAAAATTATGTGGGTGTTGAGATTTCTTATGACTTCTATGTGTGCATTTAATAAGAATTTGATAGGTTAATATACTTTGTATGTAGCGTGAAGTTTGAAGAAAGAAAAAAATAATGGGTTTGAAAGGTTTGAAGAAGGAGAAAGGGGGTGGTGGGTCTCTGTGTGTGTGATTGTGAGAAAGAAGATGGAATGGAAAAGTGTGGTTGAAAAAAAGAAGAAAGGGGATAAAAACAGATGGGTGGATGAAAGGGTAGAGGCGTATCTAAGGGGGGCCACCGGGTTCATGTGAACCCATGGTTCTCTTTCGAGATCATATATAGTAGTGTTATATTTTTTTTTTAAATATTAAAATATAGATGTGTGAATCCACACTCTGAGTATCACATAATGCGATTATGACTGGGTGCACCTATCTCCGCGAGGTTAGAAATCTGAATTTTATATTTATCTTATTTTATATATTATATATATATATATATATATATCAGAATTAATTTTAGACATATAATTTTAAAATTTTAACGGATTTCAATAATAAAAACCTAAATGTTGAATCGATTAAATTTATATCATAGATTAACCTTTTTATAATAGTGCACCATCATCTCAAAATTGGGTCTAATTTTTTCTATCTGCCATGTCAGCTATTTGAGTGGTATTGAGTTCATTTCATACTAGATTGGGAGGGGGGGCAAATAAACGCCCATAATCAAGGAAATTTTTATGTATTTACTCTAATAAAAAAAATATTTCCTTAAGCTTGCTCCTTTTTTGTCCCGTGAATTTCTCTTTTCTTATCGTAGCTCTGTAGTAGAAATTCTTATACATGTCTAGACTAGGTTCTCGGGAAATGCCAGATTGTACGAAATTAATAAGGTTTTGAACTTTTTGATTTAGTTGATCACTAATATGGGAAATGTCAATTATTAAATTACATATCCAAACAAAACTTCAATTCCATATGAATTTAATTTTTTATCATGATTTAGTGCCAAGGACCCTTAGGGATCGTTTAGTAGCTGGATAAAATTATACTGTATTAATAATGTGAGTATTAGTTATGCATGTATTAATAATGTGAGTATTAGTTATTCATGTATTAATAATGTGGGTATTAGTTATGCATGTATTAGTAATGTGAGTATTAGTTATACAGGTATTAGTTATGTGAGTATTAGTTATGCGGAGTTTAGTCATGCATAAATTATTCCTTTGGATGTTATTTTTTTATATTAAAAATTAATAAAATTATATTTTTAAAATTAAAATATTTCTTTACGGTTATACTTTTTCCCTCTATAACTTTGTATTTAAATTAAAACATTTTTTAATTTTGTAGAAGAAGAAAGTAGTCAAGTGGGAGTGATAAGAGTAATATTGTCATTTAACTTTTTATTCATGTATTAGCTATACACGTATTAATTATTCCACCTTCTATTCCGCATAAATAATACACAAATTTCCTCATAACTTATACATGTATTAGTTGTGCGAATTTCAAAAATCGTCAACCAAACGTCGTATTAATTTTATACATGAATAACCTTTTTCTTATCCACCTACCAAACACTATATTAATTATATACATAAATAATTTTTTTCTTATCCACCTACCAAACATCGTATTAATCATATAAATGAATAATTTTTTTCTTATTCACCTACCAAATGTTGTATAAGTTATACGGACTTTAATACATGAATAAGACTTGTTTTAT